GAAACATCCCTCACTCAATCTTGATTTACCAAGTCCACAGAACCATGATTTTCATTATGGAGCTCAATTTGAGCTGACTGCCACAATTGTGCCTCTTTTTCCGCTAATCGTAATACTTCTACTGGGTCTGTATCTATGTTTTCAAAGATCTTTTCGTTCCTTGCTTTCCAAATTACCAAAAGTATCTAAAACTATTCTAAATTACCCGAATTATTCGAAAACTCCCTTATGAAAAAACTCAAACTATTTAAAAGTATCCGAATTAACCAAAAATATCGGTAAAAAGAACCACCTAAACTATTTAAAATACTTAGAATGTAATGAAATATCACAAAAATATGTAAATGTGGTTAATGTGTTACTTAAGTTTGGGTTTTTTTAGTACCTATTCGGTTCGGGTTCGGGTTTGGGTCAGGTTTTTTGGGTACTTTTTGGCCTCTAAAACATGTTCAGATATTTTTAAAGTTCGGGTTAGAGTTCGGATCATATATTTCGAGACAGATTTTGTTCGGGTCTTTGTATCCGAGTATTGATTTGCCCTAACATGAGTAACTGATATATTAGATAATTAAAAATTGTATTTGTCAAAACATAATATTAAATAAAACAAAATAAAAAAATTAAAAAAAATTAAAAAAAATCTGCGGCGTAGCGCGGGTGATCACCTAGTAAATAGTAAAAGTAGATATTTGGTCGGTGTTGTGGGTTGATCGAATTTGTTTTCAATAGACGGATATAACTAAGGAAAAAATAAACATATAAAGTATTATCAAAAATGATTAATAACATATATTTTGATAAAATCATTTTTTGGTAAAAGATATTTATAAGCCAAAACTTTTCTGAATGTTTCATTGAGATTGTTTGTCAACATGAAGTCGTATGCCCACATGGGGTCACGATCAACTTTGTGTGCTATGCAACGAACCAAACGAGACATGTGACCACCTCTTTTTTGCTTGTCTATACTCTTTTATTGTTTGGTCAAATGTGAACGATAATCTTCTTGGAGTGAGATTTACCCCATACTCGATTGACACGATCAACTCTCTTCAGACCTACAACTTTGGAAGATCAAGATATGTTCTCCTACGTCTAGTCTTCCAGGTCACGGTATATCAATTATGGAGGGGAAGGAATGGCCGAGTTCATCGCGTTCTGGCAGCCTCTTCGTTCAAATAATCACTTGGAAAATTGATAAGCTCATCCGTAATAGAATCAGCTTAGTCTGTCAAGTTCCAACACATAACAGCGACTTGAAGCAGCTTTGGTTTGCTAGCCGAACATAATCCCCTGTTTCCAACTTTCACATTCAAAAGCCTATTTTTACTGTAGTTAATTTTTTGTTGCAAAAACTCTCACATTACAATAATGAAAAGAAAGAAGTTTCATTGAGTTTGTTAATTGAAGAATTGGTGGAAACTACCACAAGACCGCACCTTCAGCCTGATGGACCATCAAATTAGACCTCTCCAAAACTATAACTCTTGTGACCAATTCATCTATTGGTGTCTCCAAATAAAATATAGTTTTGAAAAATCAGAAACATCTCTTTATTATTAGTTTAATTAATAAAGAAAATTTTAAATAAAAAAGCTAAATTTATTAATGTTCATAAAGTAAATAGTACAATATATATATATGCAAACGACCTAACATTCTAAACATAATACACATTTCACCTTCTAATTCTAATCACTTAACAAACTAATTTGGTGGTCATACGACGAAGGAAGAGTCGGAGAGGGAGCGGGCTCGGCATAGAAATTACTTCAACCAAAACATTTTGGTTTTGGAAAATTTCATTAAAAATCTTTTAGGTGGCCACCACTTTCAGTTTAAACCTCCAAAATTTTGAACTTCTACAAGAAACCATCAAAGCGACAATTTTACTACTTTAAACCTTCAAAGTGGTTTTTATGTTTGCGGGTCCACAATAATTTATAACGCCCCGACCGTCCCTACCAGTGGGTCCCACTTCCTCTCTCGGGCCCATGGGTCCACCCTTGTCCGACGGCCGGTCCGCTACGTCCGGGAGGCTTTAAAGACTTGTTTACCAACCCTACAAATTACCACATGATCTTTCCCTGTGTTTTGTCCTCACTCACGCAGTTGCGACAATCACTTCCCGGAAGGTCACCCATCCTGAAACTACTCCAGCTCAAGCACGCTTAACTGTGAAGCTCTCTCTGGATAGTTGACCGAAAAGATAATTGCACTTTGGTGACAAAGGTGGCCAAATCAATTCTTATAAACCTCTCCGCATGCACCACCATATTCCTGAAACCGGTGTGGATGTCGGAATCCGCAATTCAAATTTTATGATGTGAGTCGGGTCGTCTAGCCTTGCTAATTCGAACAACAATCGTCAAAAAGAGAAAACAAAAGAGAAAAGTGTATGTATCTGTTTATTGCCCAAAAATCCTCCCCTAGTACAATGGTTTTCGTTTTCTATTTATAATTGCGCGATTCGAAACCGAAGTCGTTCATCAAGCCGCAGATCTCGCCCCCATCAATGCTTCCGTTTCGAATCTTCCGGATCTCGCACATCCCGTATGACCCGCCTTTCATTTAATTCACGAAATCCCGACGTTTCACTCGAGCTGGGCCGACTTTTACTGGGCCGTTCTTTTCGTCTCTTGAACCGGGCTAACGGCCCACTTCGTTTCATTGTTCTACCACTTTTCTGGGCCGGATCCGACTTGCGAGATCCAACACCAACAACCGGGGTGTTACATAATTAACGGGCAAATTGATTCTTTTAACAAAAAAATTTCTTCTTCTTCTTCTATTTTCTCTTCTTCGTGTATTCAATTCTTCAGAAAATTTACGGCAAAAACCTTGTATTATGATCTAGGATTTTGAGTTATAATGTTGCGCAAGAAATATATGATAGCTTTCACTTAATCAGAACAAATACGTTTTTACTTTTTTGTAGTTTTAAAATAAATTATTAATACTAGATAGAAAATATAATTTAAAACCATGTCAGTATTATATCACGAAAAATGAACAGTGGAAGTCCATTTGCTTGTTAATTTTTGTGAGATCGCGAATACGAAAGTCACTTTAAAGGTTTAATTTAGGAAAGTTGGTCATTTCACACCCAACCAAAATATCAGTGTTTAATTCATAGTTAATCGTTTTCTTTGTGCCAATATATACGCAATCTTTTAAAACATCCAAATTTCATATCCGAACTTACCAAATCAGGTAAAATCATACATTTGTTGTCACGATTGCTGACATGGATGTCATGTCTTTGATGACGTGATGATGTAGTTGCCAGCGTTTAATAACTATTAAATTGACAAGTGATTGTATTAAACCTTCAAAGTATACCAAGTTAAACGTAAAGTCGACTATTTCATACACAACCTAAACATCAGTGCTCAATTCATAACAATTTTCTCTTTGCCAATATATACCAAATCTTTTAAAACATTTAAATTTCATACCCGAACTTACCAAATCGTGTAAAATCATACATCTCTTTCCACAGCTCTCAATACATTTGATGATGCCTCAACAAGACATAAGACAAGGAAAAAAAGAGGAAAATGCACTCAAAGAGAAGAGTTAGATATATATCCTAAGTGAAACTACGTATGACTTTAGTAAATATCCAAGTTATTGAAAATTCTGCATAATGCCTCAACAGGACATCACAACATTTTACAATTGGATAAATGAAAACTCCAATGACATATTGTCCCCAATACACATTGACTATTTTGATAAATAAAAAAGTTGGAAGTCAGAAAACAAATGAAATGCAAAAGAAAATAGGAAGCATGAGTGCCAAGAAACGAACTTGTGGATGTCGGATCCAACGCTCAAATTTGGATAGTAGAAATGGGACAAAAACTCTAAAATACAAAAAGAAAGATCGTATTTCTGGTATGCTAAAGCGGGTATAGAAATAGTATGCTTGTATTGAGATTAAGATTACAAAAAAAAAGGTTCCCCCTTTACAAAGCTATGGGGTCCTATATTTATATAATAATGATTAAATGTGTCTAACTAATTCCATAATCGCCATTAAATACTTCCGTTTCAATTGTGTCTTCAATGTCATAAAGTCTTGGTTTTAATTCAAACTCTTTCGTGGGATTTTTCCTCTTGGGCTTGCTTGTGGATTGCGAACTCCTTCATTCATCACCTCGCACTCTCGAACTCTCAAAGGGCTCGCCTGGCTTGATCACTTTGGTGCAACCTTGCCCTTCTCCGGATTTCTCTAGACCACATGTCTCCTTCGGGTAATGGATCCTTGGTGTGGGATCTGGGCCCAACAATTTCCTCCCAAATCATGAGACATGTTAAGCTCGGAGGTTTTAAGTAATAAATGCAGACGTATCCTTTTAATTTTTTTTTTTTTCGTATCCTTTTAATTCTTATTCATTAATTACCTTTATGTCTTATCGCTTTTTTCTTTGTATTTTGGGATCCTAAGACCATGCACATAGTTGATACTCATAGAGTATCATTAGCAATTTTTTAGTATTAATTTTAATATTTGTTTATTGTTTAAGATTTTTTATGATACTGATAATAAATATGTTTCCAATGGTGATACCAGCATCGGTATCATTACTCAAAAAAAAATTATTTTCAAAATCAAAAATAAATATATAAAACATAGAATTACACATTTTAGTACATGTATCTATCTATTTATGCATGTACCAAAACAAGGTTTATGATTCTGTGATGCAGTAGTGGTTGGTCATTGTTAAACAAAGCACATGTTTTGTCAAAATTCTCTGCAAAATTTTATGAGGGAATTTGCAGGTATTTTTTGATCTGAAGCAGTTCACGTATGAGAGGGGAAAACAATAGTGTTATAAACTTTCTCTTTAGACTGTGTATTTAAACAGCTCACCATTTGTAAAAGCTAAGACTCTACACTATTGACCTCTCAGTCTTTATTTGCTGTCTTTGCTTGAATATTTGAATCAAAATCTATTTCAAAAAGAATCTAAGGTCGAAGAAGCAGACAATAAGCTTTAAAGAACCACCTTTTGATTTTTGATTCAAGAAATCTAAGTACAGAGAGTTTTGGGGCTCATTTGGACACTCTTTTGTCGAGTAATCACAAATTTTTCACCTAAAATAAGAATGATCCATTACCCCCTCTTACAACATAAGAAAAAAGGGACAAAAGTTGCTGGATAAGCTTAAAGGAAGAGGGAACATCTTTATCAAGAAGAAAAAACCGATCAAATCCGGATACTGTACCTTTAATTATCATGGGCTCCCTTTCCTGGAACAACATGAAAATTGTTTGCATATGCCATTGGCTTCACATCCGGATGAGGCTGTGAAATAACAATATCAGAAAATTAGAAGAGTTTTCGAATGAGTTTAAATCAAATCGTTAAGCAGTTTCTGTGAAACATTCATAAAAACAATGCTATGTAAGAGGTATACTACTACACTCACCACTGCTGAGAATCTAACTAGCGGAAAATATAGTTAGTTAGCTAAAACAGTAGAAAGACTATCGGAGTCTAGAGTGAGAGGAAAAATATCAATCTTACCATCTGCTCCAACCGTGAAACTTCTTCATTTAACTTCAAAACTTCAATCTGCAAGACAACAAAAGAGAATGATCACAAGAGAAATCCATTCACTTCCTTGACATTTTTCTTGTTTTGGTTACATAGCTTCTTATGAAGGAATTGATGAATTGAGTCCACAAATACTATAATTAAAGACCTTAAGATTTCGCTACATGTACCCATTCGAATTCAGCAATCTCATATTTTCCCGAGAGAACCAAAGAAGCTACAACAACTATTGATAGAAAAACACAAGAAGATAGACTCACTTAAGCGTCTTGTTGTTAGCATTAGAGTAACGCTCGACCACATCAAACCAAGCATCAGGTGCACTCGATATAGGCCGTTCAAAACAATACTTGAAGCAAAACGGAGATAAACATGAGACAGCATCAACAAATAAACTTGTTTGCATAGTTACAATGCCAATAATCAAATCAAATCTTATAGCAGAACCTAAGAAAACGAAAAGGATTTGATGATGAAAATTACCTGAATCCGATGCTACAATCGCCTAATATAAAAATCCTCATGCCCCAAACAGATAGGCGCGTATCCCTTTAGAGTAGCAAATTTCACCGGAATTAGAAGAGCATATAAGTTAAACAAACTTGTACATTGATCCACATCTAACTACATTATATAAAATGGAGAAAACAGAGAGAGAGAGAGAGACCTGGAGATTGCTAGTGAGCCACCAATCAATGAAGCGGCGGAAGAAATCACGGAGCTGGCCAAAAGCAAAGAGCAATCCGTAGCTGAAGTAGGTCGATACAACGGTAGATAAGGGATCGGGAGAATCGCCGGCGATGAGAACGGAGGAGAAGAAGAAGAAATCGGCGATTCGCCGTTAGAGGAGAGAAGAAGAATCGAGAGAAAGATTTTTTTTTTTTTTTTTCTGCGTAACCCACAAACCAATCGTGTTCTGCCACGTCATCCGATACTAAATATCAAAGGTATCAGGTCCAAATACATATTGGGTTTAGTCCATTATAAAATTCATTTTGGGCTACTGATACTCAAAATAAATTACAGGTGTGCATGGTCTAATGATTTGATTGCCCTATGTATGCACCCACTTTCCACGACTCTCGAGGCAGTTGTCTTCTCTTGGTTAAAAGGTAAGACTCTTCCTCTTTTATTTTCTTGTTTCTTTGTCGGAATAACTCTCTTCTTTGTCTGTTATTACTTCGTGTCTACTCTGATTAGTCCCAGTATCTCTTAATCCAAGAATTCTTGACCATGTTTTCACCGGTCCATGAACCCGAGATTAAAATGATAGAAATTGAAGATACTGACACGTCTTCGGTTTCAAACATTGTTCCATGTGACGCTGTTATATGCACCCAACCAAAGGATAGATTGGACGATCATTATTTTTCATTGTCTTCAAAGGATTCGCTCGGCGATATTAGGACCCTCTGTCGGGTTCCCCCATAGTTTTCAATTTTTTATTTTTTTGTAATTTTAAACAAATATGTTCAACAAATATTTTTAATTTTACGTAATTTTAAAATAAATGATTAATCATAGATAGAAAATTTAATTTAAATATTTTTTTACGACGACAAAAACAATTATTAAAGCCACGTTAGTATTTGTAACAAAATTGAACAGTTTCGTGGACGGAATCAATTTGCCCGTTGACTGCAAACACAAAAGTCACTTAAAAGATTTAAAGTTACAAAATTGTCATTTTACTAGTTTTTTGTAAGAGTTTAAAATCATATACATTTAAGGGTAATATTAGAAACTAACCATAGAATAGAAAAGAATTAAGGTGGTGTTATTCAATGTTGGATTTTAATAGAATTGAAATCCAACATTAATCCAGTGTTATTCAACTAATGATTATAAATCTAACGTTAAAATCTGGTGTTATTAGATCTTATACTTCATTAGATTTTAAAAGTTTGGTGTTAATCAATGGTGGAGTTAAAGTCAATTCTTTAAGGTTTGTAAAATCCAGTGTTATTCAAAACTAAAAGACTTGAAAAATCTTTGTATATTAAGTCATTTCAAATGAAACCTCTTTGGAGTTTCATGAGTAAATTATAAGAATCAAATCCAAGATATACTGTAGAGATTTTGAAATCCACATAAACAGATTCTTAAAACCAATATCAGAAAACAAATCTGAATCTTAAAAAATTGACTTTAACTCCACCATTGAATAACACCCCCTAAGAGAATAGTCTTGTGTCAGAAAACAGAGGTAAATAACCTTTTGTGGAATATGATAAATACTAAAATATCCTTCTGTTTTCTTGTTTTTACAACAACGCTGGTGGCAGTAGTTACAAAGTTTTTAATGATTGTGCACAACTCTTGTTGAACAAATCATGTGTTTATCTAAAATAACACGATATATTTAAAAAAAAAACACATGCAATTCTCTTAAATAACACGAAGTATTGACAAATATATATAATTGTTACAAACTTTTATGGGTTTTTGTTGGATATATAGCGTGAAAAATATTTATATATCAGTGGTAATAGCATGTTTTGTATTTATTATACATGTATTTTAAAAATTAGACATGTGTTTTAAAATCAGATCTAATCTTTTATCACACCGGCGAGTGGTGGAGAAATCTGGTGAGAAGGGAAAACAGAGAACGACCAAAAGAGATGAGAGGGAGAAGTTTCTAGGGAAAAAAAAAGATAGAACATGTGGTGAAGAAATCTGACAATAGAAAGATATGGGTAAAGAAAAAGAGATCTTGTAGTGAAGAGAGATTTGATGAGAAAGAGAGAGAAAGCAAAAAAAAGATTATGGCAAAAAACAAAGAGAAATTAAATGAGAGAGAAAGAAAGCTTCATGGCTAAGTCTAGTAGAGGGAAAGAAAAAAACAAGAGAAAGAAGAAGAAAACAAAAGGATAATATAAACAAAAACTTACCAAAAAAAATTCGGTAACAAGTGAGTACTATTTGGTCAAATGTTAGTTTGTTAATTCTTTTCAAGTCAATGGTCATTTTGTAACTACTGCGACCTACGTTATTGTTCAACTAAGCGGGTGGTGACCCAACGCCTAGCGCCTAGAACGCCTAATCGGGGTCTAGGCGATTTTAGGCGGTTTAGGCGTTTACATCATAACACATTGTAAATATAATATTATACGTAAAATCAGTGTTCCAAAAAGCGGTCTAAGCCGTCGCCTAGGCGGGCCTAGGCGCTAGACCCTCAGGTGACGCCTAGACGACCGTTTTGGCCGTTTAAAATCGTATAAATTTCGTTTTAGTATATATTTTCTAGTTTTCAGCCATATAAATTTAAATTATAAGTTTTAGCTTCATATATATTGTTTGATAATAATTAAATAAATTTTTTTGTTTAGTTTTTGTTTACAATCTAAGATTTTTATTTTTCTAATAGAGTTTTAAATGATTTTTAGCTATAATATCATATGTATAATGTGTTATGTTGTAACCGCCTAAAATCGCCTAGTCCCTGATTAAGCGTTCTAGGTGCTAGGCATTAGGTCACCGCCCGCTTAGCGCCTAGCGCTTTCTTGAACATTGATAAAAATTATATAAAACTATCTATTAGAAAAATAAAATCTTAAATCGAAACAAAAATTAGACAAAAAATTTTATTGAAGTCATATCAAAACAATATATATATATATATATAGAGCTAAAATTTATATTTTAAATTTATGTAGTTAAAAATCGAAAAAATACATTGAAACTAAACTTTTACGATTTTAGGCAGTCAAAACGTTTGTTTAGGCGTCACTTGAGCGCCTAGCGCCTAGGCGGTCGGCCTCGCCTAGATTGCTTTTTAGAGCAATGCTAAATAGTGGAAGTGATTGTCACATTGTGGTTGCTACCTATTTTTTATTTAAATGAAAAAAAAAACATTTTAATTTCATGCACAAAGGACTGATCGAACCGGACATGAAATTACAAAACCGGGCTCTCAGCCACCACAATAACCGGTCAGCACTAAACCCGGTGTTCGTTGACGACGTTATTGTGTTCATCGTTTTTGTCACGTTCCGGTTTGTTTTGTGGCTGACGATAAACACAACACAAAAGAGGAATTAGGGTTTGTTTGTCACTAAGAGGAAGAGAAAGAAGAAGAAGAAAATTTCGTACAATTCCGCCATTAAAGCTTCCACCTTTAATGGCGACAACGACAATTTCTTCCCTCTCTCTTTCTCTTCCTCAACTTCTTCGTAAACCCACAAAGCCTCTTCCTTTCCTCTTCCTTCTTCCTCGATTCAATCGGAGATTTCGAAGTCTCACTATCACTTCTTCTTCAAGCAACTTCAGTAGTAATTGTGGCGATGATGGCTTCTCTCTCGACGATTTCACTCTTCATTCTGATTCTCGATCACCTAAAAAATGTGTCCTTTCTGATCTTATTCAAGAGATTGAACCATTAGATGTGAGTTTGATTCAGAAGGATGTTCGAGTGACTACTTTGGATGCTATGAAAAGAACAATCTCAGGCATGTTGGGGCTTCTTCCATCTGATAGGTTTCAGGTTCATATTGAATCTCTTTGGGAACCTTTGTCTAAGCTTTTGGTATCTTCAATGATGACTGGGTATGCTCTCATCAATACTATTCATTAGGATAACTTCTCTTTGAACATTGTGATGTTGAAATAGCTTAGTTTTAGGTATAGTGGAAGCTTGGAATTATCATGAAAGTTTAGTCGTTTTGTGGCGCTGAATCGACGGTTTAATTTAACTGTCCTGAAGCTTATATCAAAGAAAGATTTCTATTGAATCGAATTATGTATCGATATCACATAGGTGGCTTGTTTACTAGTTGTCTCTGATATTGGTCTCCTTTACCTTGGTTTCAATAGGTTATTTTTGTAGTAAATTAGCTTCTTAGTTCGTAAAAGTACATCTTTATGATGTTTGTTTGGTACTGCAGGTATACATTGAGGAATGCTGAATATCGGCTTTTTCTTGAAAAAAATCTTGAAATGAGTGGTGAAGACTTGGAAAGCCGCACTTCGGAAAATACTGAATACGATATGGAAGGGACGTTTCCTGATGAAGATACTGTTTCATCCAAAAGGGATAGCATAACTCAGAGCCTTTCTGAAACGATTGATGAAGAAGGTTTGGGCAGAGTATCCTCTGAAGCTCAAGAATATATCTTTCGTTTGCAGTCACAGTTGTCTTCTGTGAAAAAGGTGCAGTTTATAATGTAATTGTATATTTCTATTAAACACATAAAAGTTGTCGTACATATTGTTCTGGCTAGGAACACTTCTTGTTTAGTTTTGTGGATATGTTAATGAGTTTTTGCTCTAATCCATATTTTCCTATTACATGATGTCGCTGCATTATAGGAATTACAAGAAATGAGGCGAAAGAACGCTGCTCTACAAATGCAACAATTTGTTGGCGAAGAGAAGAATGATTTGTTGGACTATTTAAGATCTTTGCAACCTGAGAAGGTTTGTGTAAAAATTGCTGAAGCCATATTCCAGCTTGTGGGATATTTTTGCTTGTCTTAATTCTTTTCGTTTCTCGCGGACCATCTTAACTATATTCTTAACAGGTAGCTGAGTTGTCGGAACCTGCGGCTCCTGAGGTTAAAGAGACAATTCATTCTGTTGTTCACGGTCTTTTGGCAACTCTATCACCGAAGATGCACTCCAAGTTTCCAGCATCAGAAGTTCCACCTACTGAAACGGTGAAAGCAAAAAGTGATGAAGATTGTGCTGAACTTGTAGAGAACACCTCGTTGCAGTTTCAGCCTCTTATCTCACTTACTCGAGACTACCTTGCTCGTCTTCTCTTTTGGTTAGAACTGCCTTGCTCTATCTCTCTCTCTTTTACTTGCTAAGGCTTTACATGGATTTTGTATATTTTACCTACAAGCACAAATAGATCTTCTCAAAAGAAACTTTATTGTGTCTTGATTCTATTACAAAAGACATCTTATATTACGGTGTCTGCTTTCTATTGATAGGTGCATGCTATTGGGACATTACCTCAGAGGTTTGGAATATCGAATGGAACTGATGGAGGTCCTGTCTTTGACGTGTGATGCCAATGGGTCTGAGAACGTTGCTTGAAGCTATCTTTACTTATCCCAACGTTGTCTTACATGCGTATCACCGGCCTTGACATTCTTAAACCAACAAAGTGGGCAACTGACTAGGAGAAAAGCCAGCTTTTGAGCTTTAGCTCTTGCACATACATGCAAATTGGTGCTGGCCTGAAAATTCATGTGCGAGGTAAAGTGTAACATAAGAAATCACTTCTGCTAAAATTATTTTCCGTTGCATTATCATGTGATGGACCAGTAAAGCAATAAAGCTAAGTGTAATTGTATTCAGGAATATACTCGTTTGGTATATAAAGCTAAGTATAGTTTGTCATACAATTCTTGGCTCAGAAATTGGAGTGTCAAGCAGGTTTATTTGGCCTGGTCCAGCCCTTCTAGGCTTGGCTCAAGAGTTGACCTTAGTTTTACTTTTCTCCGGTTTACGTATGCAGGATCCCATAAACGAAATCCAACACTTCCGCAATTCGATACAAAAATGTATGCCTTCTTAAAAGTGAACCCATTTGAACAACTTCTCAATCTTTTTCTAGGACCTTTAAAGTTTTGTTTAGGGTTCATCTATATTCTCTTCTCTTATTCCCACTTGCAGCACAAGAGTTTACTTCGATCTATATATATATATATATATATATATATATATATATAGATCGAAGTAAACTCTTGTGCTGCAAGTGAGAATAAGAGAAGAGAATATATATATATATATTTGTGACTTCTTCAGTTTCGATAGAATTTTCTCCATCTTCTCCTCTATAATCTCTTAAAGGTTAGAAGTTTGGACTGTCATAACCTTCTGGTCTGGATAATATGCAAATGACCACCAAACCCTTGAAACACATCTTATCCTCTATGTGTTTCTGTCATCAGTAGTGTTCAACTTCGTAAATATTTTTCGACTACTTGAAAATTTGGTGAATGTGTAATATAAGATTACAGGCTGCTCTCCACACTCCCATCGCAACCGGAAAATATCAAACTTCCTTGTATACTTTTGGAAGTGTGTATGCTTTAACTAAATGTTATGCTTGTAAGTTGTAGTCATCAAGCAAAAAATCTCTTCTTCTTAAAGACCTTCAGCTTCTCCTAATACTCTCTCTCACCTTACGCGTGGGTCGGGTTTTGTGCCAAGAACCGTCCAATTTTTTGTTAGATGAGTTCAAGTAAGTTCTTGTCACAAAAAGGTTTAACATAAATTCTTAACCTCCCCAAATATATTTTCATTCAATGAATTCTGATAAAGAGTTACATATCCTAAATTATTTATAGAAATTGGTTCTTTGCAATGTCCAAAAAAATATTGTAAAAAGAAAACGCAGACAAGGAAGTAGTTGAAGCACGTGATAGGCCTAACACGTTAGTCAGTCTTTTTAAAGCCTCGTAAACGTTTTCTCATAATTATTTACCAAACACATACCTCTCTTCTCTTCTCTTCTCTATCTCCCAGTCTTCATAGAAGTGACCACATTCATTGGTACAATACAAATTTGGATCAAAAACTAATTCAGAAAAAAAGGTTCTCGATTCAATTGTTTATATTGGTTGAGCCGATCTAATAATGCAACATCTTTATTATAATATGTTTTATGAATATCTTAGTATAGGTTTTTTTTTTTTTTTTTTTTTTTTGTTGGTAAAGTAGTATAAGTTTTTTAACAAACTGAAGATATATATAATATTATATATATATATATATATATATATATATAATATCCCTGATTAACATCAAATAATTTTATTCACCAAAAAAAAAATATCAAATAATTTTAACACTTTTCTTATTTAAACTTATTTCAAAGAGACAGAAAATCTCGTTAAAGCTTTTAAGAACATATGGAGTATCATGAGATAGCTTTGATTGTTTTGACTTCTGATAAATTTATAACTCCACATTATAATCACTAAAGCCAAATTGATACCGGGAATGAAAAAAAAAACTCATAAGCAAAATATTCATTTATATTAATTAGTTCACTGGATCTCTCTTATTTATTTATCTAAAAATTTGGCTGGAAAGAAGTAGAATCAAGGACATTTGGGAGTGCCTTTGCTACTGAGCTTGTCACGGTAGCAAGCACATTCATGCTTGTTCCCATAAGTGCCTGAAGGAACACACTGACAGTCTTTGCAACATATCACACAATACTTCAAACATCGATCTTTCATCCCCGCTGCTTTGCATCTCCCTTCACACTTCTGTCCACACCATTTCTCTAACGCCGGTCCATATTTGATCTCCGGCGCCGGAGCTACCGCGCCACTACCAATAGCATCTAGAAGATCCACAAGATCATTAGTAAGAGTATTGTATATAAATTATCTAGATTTGTATCTACCATAGTTAAAATTATATTTGTTGAGAAAAAACAAATTATTCATTCCAAATTTGTATGCATAGAAACCCTTAAAGATTTTGCATCTAAATTCATGTAGATGAAGCTCACTTTATTTTAGCGAGGTTTTCAGAATTTAACTAATAAGTCCAACTAACTCATGATTGTTTTGAACATAATAATGAATTTTGTATTACTCGTTTGCATGTTATGTTGTTCTAGTTAATATTTAGAAAATTTCTATTGAAAACGAAAATATAAAGAAACAATTATAACCTATATAATTAATTTTAAGAAAGGAAAAAAATAGAGAGAGGAGTCTTGAAAAGATTATAACAAACCTGAGACAGTAGCGGAAGCAAGAGATGAAGTGATTAGAAGAACTGAGGCTAGAAACAAGATGGAGATTATTATTTTCATGCTTATTTTCTTTGACTCTCTTTAGTCCCCGAATGTGGTCTCTTTATTGGCCTTTTATAGGCCAAGCTACCAACTTCTTTATTTATATTTAATAGAACTTAAGTATTATTCATTCAATTACGTTATATTAAATAAAACCAACTTGTTCAGTGATTATTATTTTGTTTTTGTCTTAGAATTCCATATCAAAATTCAGACTAATCCTTAAAATTTGTAAGAACATAAGAACTTTACATTTAGTATTCATATTTTGTTGATAATTTTTTTTCTCAGTTAAGAATGTAAATATTTCATATAAAATGAAAACATTAAAAACAAAAATGAAACGAAAACATTTTAGTTTACAATCAAAAATTATTATTACCTATATAAATGGTCACAAAGCAAAAAATGTAAAAATAGCTCAGAATCTTCATCTCTGTCCATCCACTCAAATATAAGCCGAAGTTCTAATGGAGCTAGATGAAGTGAATCATTACATTTAATTAGTATTAATAACAATAATAATGAAAATCAAAAACAAATATTAATCCGTCACATTAGAAATATTTACTTTACACAACCATAGTCAATGGTTATTTTTTCAAGAATAAATATGTTCTATATTTAACAAATAAGTTGAATTCTTTTTTTTTTTTTGTGAGGGAAACAGGCTGGTGACAGACATATGATAAGAAAAACAGACGAAACTGGGGAACGAGATTGTCTCCTTAAGACCTAATTCCACGCGGTTTCTCGCACATGTCTCTTTTGTTCTCTCACTCTAGGACTCATTTATTTGTTTGCTTGTTTCTATTTCCAAATGGCACATTGTTTTTCAACAACTTTCCAAGAAGATCAGATAGAAGATATTCAGATGTAATAATAGTATGTTTTATAGAATATTTTCCGTAGTTCACTAATACGGTCTCTGAAGTTGATCGGATGTATAAGGTACCAACTTAATATAATCCTGATCTGGCCGTGAATCCAAGGCTTGGGCTTGCGGCCTTATAATAAATATATCCTTTAGCAATCCGAGAATTAGATAGTAATAAAAGACTGTAACATTGTTTATGTAGTAATGTGTTCGATTCCCTCTAATTTTGTAATGGATACTTAATAGGTAACCAAAATTAGACAAGCGAGAGTTGTATCAAAATATATATTCTTCAACATATATAGATGTATTTACATATCAAGTTTTCAACATAAAATAACAAAACATTTATTTGGAGAAAAAATTCACAATGTCATCTTCCAAATTTGCTATCTATTGTATCATCCTAGTTTCCCTTGCTAGCTTTCACGAATGTATGTTGTAATGGTTTAAGTTTCGTTTGTTGTTTATCATCATCAGCTATTCAGCTCTATAATCATTATCATATCTTCCATAGTCTTTTTAAATGGTTTTTTTTTTTTAATATAGGTAATTTCTTCAAAGGTATTTTTTGTTTTGGTTTTAATGCGACGATTTTATTCCAAAGAAAAATTACAAGGTAATTTATTATTACCATAGCTACCTATTATCACAGGAACAAAAGATAGAAAATGAAAAACTTTACTAAGAAAGACGACCAAAGTAAACTCGAAGGAGAGAAGCAGATTGCAAGTTGGGCTCCGGAAAGGACAAAAACTTATCAATAGCGAGGCGAAGAGCTGCAGCGGTTGATTCAATGGCGGTAAAGATCCTCCTGTTTCGTTATTTCCAAAGGTGGTAGACCACAGACTGAAGAAGGATCTTGACGATGGATATCACTTTGGATGGACTGGGAAGATTATGACAAATAATCCATGACGAAGCTGCAGCAAGGTTTCTTCAAAGATCTTGGCTCTCCAAATTTGAAAAAACCGTACTATCTAGCAAGAATGAAATCATATTTCTGCCTAAGTAATAATGGTTTGGCCGTTTGGGGGTAAGCTGCTATAACACCGAGACAAAATATATGTAAGATTGTAATCCTTATGCACCCCCCTAAAGAATAAAGAAATTGGAAGAACATTTATGTATACCATCTATTTTCATACGTTTTACCATAATATAACTTGTACCAAATAATAAACCTTCTTTCTCTTCTTTTTTTATGTGGTATGTATTTTTAAATTAATTAATTTGGTAATAGTTTATATATTCTTTGAGTTGTGTGTGACTTGGAATTTTCTTTTAAATCACTACCAATTATGAAAAAGCCAAAATGTATAAATCCTTACCATAAAAGATTTTATTAACGATTAAAAAAAAAAGTAAATCAATGATAAAAGTAAATCAAGGACATGTATTTTATTATTTTTTAACAAGCTATTTTTTAACAAGCTTTAAAACAAACTCACGGGGATGTCAGAGTCTCTGGGAATGTTCTTCAAAGTCGATTTGTAGTGAATTTTTGAAAGTGAGTTTGTCTAAATTAAAGGAGTTTCATGTCAAGAATCCTAAACTCATACATCTTTGGCTATCCTATCTTATGGCCAAAAAAAAAAAAAATCCTAAACTCATACATCTTTGGCTATCCTATCATGTTTTTCCTTCTCTAATTCTTTCTTGTGTTCTCTGTTTCTCTTTGTCTCAATCGCAATCATTCTATTGTTCAACATTTGGTTTGGTTTGTTCGGTACATGCAAACTTCTCAACTTTTTCCAAACACAAAATGTTGCAGTGTTTTGACTTGCAGATATGAGTCCTTAAACTAATCTCAGTTTCTGGTTTTAAACCAGCTAATATTTCACACTCTCAAGGATACATGGGCAACTCAAAATCCAATTACTTCATTAAACCTATCTCTCAAAATATGTCAAAGCATGGAAGCTAAGAGCCACATGTATAAAGCTTGACAAGAAAAATGCACCCTTGTTAATCTTTCACAGCTTTATGTTAGAATCTTCTTCCACTTCTACGTTAGATTCGCCTCTAGATTAGTATATGCAATCACCAGTTAGGGTTTGGGAATACGAAAGAAGACGACACAATAGTAAGAGATAAGGCATGGAGAAAAGGAATGTAGTACATTACACTAATAATCAAATGGAATGAGAAAGGAAGCCACAAAAGTATCTGCAAACAAAATATCCTGCTATCTCCATCTCAAGCTCTCAATAGTATCCTCTCCAAAAGATAATAAATCCCAAAAGAATTCAGTCCCAAGCAATACAATGGAACAAACAAAGACGACATAATAATAAATGCAAGTAACACCAGTACAAAAGACGACACTTAGATCATAAACCAGACGAGAACAGATCCAAGTACTAAGCTCGAAACCGTCTTGCTAGCTCCATTCTGCAAGACATAACGTTTCCAATCAGCATTTCAATTTTTTGGATCCTAAAGCAATAGGATCCTATAATCAACTCAATTAATTAATCGGGGGTTATATTTGAAAAGATCCTATAATCTAGGGTTGGATAATTTGGACAGCAGATCTTAGAGAATTTTTTATTACCAAACTAAACTAGATCTACTTTGGTCCAAAAAAATAATGCCACGTGGCAGTATTAATTATTCACGTGCAGTCTGACAAAGTCACGTGACTACAGCACCCACGCGCTCGCGGCTCGGATTCGAAGATCTCGAGGCAGACAAGTCTGCCAAAATCATCAAATCCGATACGGGCGTACGTTAGCGGGGACTAGCCTTCTATTGCTAAATTGCGCTAATTATGTTTTTCACTTTTTTCTAAATCGTACCGTTGTAGATCTAGTCAATTTCAGACAAAACATCTCAGATCTGAAACACATTGTACAAGATCTAGAAGAAAAGGTTACGAACCTGGTCGTTCACATCGGTGGGGCTAGGAGCAGGAGAGATAGAATCGGTGCTAGGTCCAGGAGCGTCGCTGGATGGAATAGGTGGGCTAGAAGACGGCGATGGAGATGGAGAATCTGGCTTCTTGGTCGGTGCTGGAGCCGGAACTTGAGCTGGAGGTGAAGCTAGAGGAGCTGGTGGAGGAGTAGCGACGGGAGGAGGAGAAGCGACGGGAGGAGGAGGAGAAGCGACTGGAGGAGGAGTAGCTGGTGGAGGAGAAGCAGGAGGAGGAGATGATACTGGTGGTGGTGGATTTGCTGGAGGAGCGGTAGTGACTGGAGGAGGAGAGGTTGTGACTGGTGGTGGTGCTGAGACTGGAGGAGGAGTAGCTGCTGGTGGAGGAGTTGTTGGAGTTGGTGGAGCTGGTGTAGCGGTTGGTGGTGAAGTCGGAGCTTGACCAGTAACGCCGGCGACGAGAACGATACAGATCACAGCGATAGCGAAAGATCGAGCCATTTTTGCTTTTTTTCTCTCTGTTAGTGAGAATGAGAGAGTTGAGTGAGGAAATGTAAGAGGAGGAAAGTGAATGATTTATTTAAATAAGGAAAAAGTGAGAATTATTATCAAAAACGCGGATACATGGCGTCGTATTGAAGTTGGTTTTAGTAAGTGTGTATAATAATAATAACCCATGATGCCATGTGAGAAGTTGGCGGTGCTAGATCTGTTGACACGTTGGCGAGTCTTCATTTATCAAAATTATGATGGGATGTTGGATGTGGGATGTGTATGAGTTGTATTAATCAATTTATAGCTTTTAAGTTACTCTAATTCCAAACATGTAATAACAAAAGTTTTTAAAATAAATTTTGAAATGAATGTTACTATTACTATTTACTTTTTCTTTTATAGTCTTGTTAGTGTTCTTTTCTTTTCAATAATTTTACGTACCATGTTAGAAATTATATCAAATATATATCTTACTAGTTACATAGTATATACGAATAAAACCGATTCATGGAAAAGCAAATCAAATTTTGATATGATAACCTAAAGAATATTTTCTTATTTTTTCTTTTAATGTAGATTTGTTTATTTTTTCATTAATTTTTTTAATAATATTTAAGTATTTGTTCAAGTATCTAGATTTTACAAAAAAAAATATGGTGATTATCACTCTGGCATACTTTTTCTGAGATTCATATCAAAAGAGACACTTTACGAGTTTTTCAAGTTTTTTCCACTGTTCAACATTATTTAATACCAAAATGTCCCTGAATTATATTCATGATGTGCGAAGAAAATTTTTTGTATCATTCTCTTTCTTCTCCTTCTCCTTCTCCTTCCACGTCAATTCTCTTTCCACATTCTCTTTTCTTTTTTTTTTTCTTTTTTTTTTCTCTCTCATTTTCTTTTTATTATCATTTTAGTTACTTAATATGATATATATTATTTATTTTTTTATATAATCAATTAAGATTTATTTTTTCTTACATTTTAAGATCCATTGTTGCTATATTTTAAGTGAATAATTATATTACATATTATCCATTTCCAATTGAACAAACATATTACACAAAAATTTATAACTACTGATCATCCAAACATATCCGTTAAACTTTGACCACATGAACGAATAAAGATAAGGTTTTTCGGTGTAATATAAATCCGCCAAACTCTGATCAAGTGTTTGTTGTAACAACACCAATCACTGCTTCGAGTTCAGATCTGAGTGATGTGTATGATGTAACTTCGTTTAAATGAATAACACTAAACCCTAACATCTACCTTATATAAACCCAAACCGATATGCTATTTAAAAAAAATTTATAACACTAAACCCTAACTCTTACCTTATAAACCCAAACCGATATGCAAGTTCTTTTAAATATATATAAAAATATATCATAATCCCGATCTTATAAACTCAAACCGATATGTAAGTTTGTTTAAATGTATAAAAATATACCCTAACTCCTACTTATCAACCCAAACAGATATATAAGTTCGTTTAAATGTATAAAAATATACCATGACAAACTACTGACCATCCAAATATCTCTTTCAAACTCTGACGATATGGATGTATATAAAAAACGTGTCCATACAAACTCTGATAAAGAGTCAAGCAAGGGAATTCGTCCATTAGCGTTCGAACATATGTTTGGTGTTTTAAAGAACTTTTGACTATATACCTGACAGTTCCAATTGTCATTCATCTACGTTCATCCGTTTTAAAACATATTTTGTTTCTAAGTGAACACAAACTACTGACCATCCAAACATATCCGTCAAACCCTATCTTAAATGCGAAACAGAATGGTAACAAGATTTCCAAGGTTCTTGATCATGTCCAGTGGACGCCGAAAAATTATCATATTTTATATATATGGTCACGTTCACATAGATACTGGAAATGCAAAATTGATTCAAAATTAAAAACTAATTAATAAAAGACATTAACTTTCTCATATAAAAGAGATGGACATAAGAAAAAACCTTACAAAATCAGACAAAAAGGAGTCTTACTATTACTACGGTTTGTAGTTCTTCCAAGCCAAAAACCAATGTTGGATGAGATGAAAACATTGAATTAAGAGAATTTTAGGATAAGCCTTTACGAACGAACACAAACAAAATTGTGTGCTTAATGTTCTGACGCAAACACAATTCCTCAAAGATTTACTGTTTTGATAACTAAAGATTCGTGCATTTCATCGATTCCACCACCCCTTATCCATGCAATATATCATCCCTTCATAGTGAACAAATGTTCAATCACATGTAAATAATGTGTAATGTGGAGGAATATGGATTTTGATTAATTTGAATCAAGTAGTACCCGATAGCATCTGCTTCCCAGGGACTTCACGTAGCAACTCGGAACCACCAAATGACAAGTTTCGTTATAATTTTGATTAAGCTCGCAAGCTTAACTTCAAACTTATCATTTTTGTCCATAAAACCATGTCCAAACGATGTATTCCATATGATCGGACGAGTTGTTTCACCATAATTGCTTTTGTCTCTTAGTTCTCGTCCAAAAATCTTTACTCTTCTCCAAAATTTAAATCCACACTAAACCATGTGTACTCGTAATCCTATTCATTGATCGGTCGTTTATTGAAAGTTTAACAATGAGGATCAATACTCGATCAACGTGGTTAAAGTAAAATACAGAAGGTGAAGAAACTCTTGCTCGTCTCTATTTAAATATACTTGTCGCACCAACGTAAGATCGTTGCACGAGGAGTCGCACCAGACCAAATCTAATCGGGCTAAAGCGAGTCAATGGAATATTGTTCGCGGCGGGATCTGGGGACGAGACAGAGTACGTTGATGGTGGCGATGAAGGAGAAGCTAATGAGATTGTGAGAGAAAGAGAGAGAAAACAACTAACAAAGGAGAGACATAGTACGTTGATGATGGTCCAGAGTTCTTACAATTTTGATTTCTCCGAAAGAGAGAGAAAAGATGCAACAAAGGAGAGATAATATAAGAAGAAGAAAGAGACGATAAAGATTTTGGTTTGAGACAAGACTTTGGTTAGAGATGGGAGAGTATATTAGTTGAAGGGTAGCTAGGTAATAACACCCACAAAAAAAGATGTTGAAAGATGAAAGTGTGCTAGAATGATAGAGAGGTTGAGAAAGTGTGTCAACGTGTAAATAACTCAAAAAAATATACAGTATGTAACTAGTTGCAGATACAATAAGCAAATACCTGATTCAAAAGAAAAACATTACAAATCAAACATACCACTAAAACACTAAAACATTTATTTCGCCAAAATCTATCACTAAATAGTAAATACGCAACTATGGAAAACACAAAACAAACTTTCAAAGTCAATAGAGGGACTCCCTCTATTCGGGTCCGCGGGTCGGGTTCGGGTAAATACGCAACTGGGCATTCGGGTCCGCGGGTCGGGTTCGGGTAAAACCCGATCGGGTACGGGTATGTCGGGTATGGTAATCTAGGACCCAATAGGGTAAACTGAAAACATCGGTTCGGGGTCGGTTCGGGTATGGTCGGGTTCGGGTCGGTTCGGGTATCAGATTTGAGACCCGCTAAAAACCCGAAAAAATCGGGTTCTACGTATTTCGGGTCGGTTTCGGGTATTTTCTACCCGATTACACTGTTATGTATATTTTTTACCCTATTGTGTAAGCTTTACACTCCAATAGAACAGAACAAAACTTAAAGCATTTAAATAGGAAAGTCTTAAACATCCATTACACATGATTCAAATCCAAGAAAAAAGACAAATTGACAAACCGGATTGCCTAACAAGTTCATGGCATAAAAACAGAAAACTAGAAGTAGACAATATCACTCTCCTTGACCCGCATGAACCTATACAAGTAAACCAATGTCAGAAATTAGAATGCAATCTCACTCTTACATAAGCTATGTATCTTACTCAGTCACTAATGACTAACCTTTGTATCTCAATCATTCATTCTACAGACTATCAGCTCCTTGGCCTTGCATATTAAAAACAAATTCTGGTTCACCTAGTTCATTCATGCTCTATAAAAAATGAAACAACAAGAATTAGAATCACAATATTGCAACATGATGTTAGAACTCAAAAGAGATAATAGAATCAGAACTTACTTCTCATACCAACTGTTCACACTTTATTCATGACCAGAGAATTTACAACTGTTTGGAAATTTGCATTCAAAGGCAAACTAAGCGTGAAACCTAGCTTCCTTAACAAATTCTAGCCCAAGCAGTTGAAAAAGCAAACTAAACATGAAAGCACTGAACTCAAAAGTGTGATGTGGTCATCAAACCAAAAACCTCTTCTCAAAGCCTATGTGAATCTCCTACAATTCTCAATATTTTTAGCACCATAAACATAAAATTGCAGAGACTTCGATTTACCAATATTAACAAGTGATGCAGAGACTCGATTAAATTGATGCAGAGACTTCGATTTATAGATAACCAAGACGCAGAGACTCGATTACAATGATGCAGAGACGCGATTACAAACATGATGCAAAAACTCGATTAATACATGATGCATAGACTTCGATTTACAGAGAAACATGATGCAGACCGCAGAGACTCGATTACAATTTAAAAACATGATACAAACACTGCAGACACATAGATCATGGAGTAGAACAATCGAAAATTACCTCTAACTGGTTTCGCGACAACGCCGACGGTGGAGAAGTGACCAGAGACGGTGTCGTGGTCTTCTCTTGAGTTTCCAGGATTGGTTCGATTAAATGATGATCGATAAAGGAGAGAGTATAGATCTAGAATCGGGAATCGAGCAAGGCAAGAAGCTAAATCGAAAGGTAAAGCTCTCTCCTTTAATCGTCTCTAACCATAAAACGACATATAGACTTAAAAGAGTAAAGGTAGGTCTTCGGGTTTCGGTTTACACTATCGGGTATCGGGTAAAACCCGAACCCGACCCGATACCCACGGGTATGAATACATAAGACCCAACAGTATAAAACTCTTATACCCGTACCCGCCCCGAACCGGGTTTTTCGGGTCGGTTTCGGTTCGGGTACGCGGGTACGGGTTTTTTGCCCGGGCCTAAGAGGGAGAGAGAAAGATTATCAAATAAATTGAGAAAAATTGGAGTAAAAATCTGTAAAAGAAAAGATAAGATTGCCTTACAAACAAAGTTACAAAGTTTTTTCCTTATTTGAAAAAAACGATTTTGGAAAGAAAAATGAGTTTGTTGTTCCTTATAAAATGAGTAAAGGGGAGAGTGATGGAGTGTTTGGATGATAGCATGTCAAATGTGGGGTCTTGGTGGGCGTTATGTGTTTTACGATGGAAGCTTTTGAACAGATCGAATAATATTAATTTCAATTATTTGATGAATTTTGGATTCTTACTTTGTTAGTGCTATTATTGTTCATGTGCTCTTCCAGACAGGGCAATGTTACTGCCAATTCATTTATAAATGTAGAATCTATTAGGTGTATAGCCTCAAGTTTGGAAGTATTCAAAAGTATAGGGAATGATTTCATCTTTTTTATTCGGCAAATGACAAAGAGAAGAAAAAAATTTGACAAACGTGTATTTGGTGAATGGAGAAACAAAATTCTTAACCATTACTAAAGCAAAGGGATATAAAAAAAAAAAATAATAATAAAATAAATAAATAAATAACTGGACCTTGTGGCCTAGTGGTAAAGGAGTCACAGCTGTGACTTCCACCACCAGGGTTCGAGGCACGGCCACTGGCAGGTTTACATAGGGGAATTGCCAGCCTCGTAGGATTAGTCTTTGGGCCTAGGAAGCTTTTGGGAGACCCGCGGTTATTCAAAAAAAAAGGGATAAAAAAAAATTATCCAAAGTGTTAAAATCTTAACTATTACAGGAAGATAGGCTACCATCCAAAGTAAAAATCTCAACCTCACTCATCTTTGATTTGAGGACGATATAATGGTATTTTGTGATGGCAGTGTTAGCTCTATGGAGGAAATATTAGAGGTACTTGAGAAATTTGCAGCATACTCGGGCGGTCGGGCCTTCGAATTAGTATTAAAAAAGCTATGATATTTATGTCAGAAATTGTTTCTATGACAAAAAATTTGTTAGCAGATTGGTTTCTTTTTGCATTTGGAGTTCTTCATGTACGTTACATAGGTCTCCTTATAATGACGAAAAGGATGTCTAGTGCTGATTTTTTCCCTCTTGTTGAGAAAATATGAACTCGGATAAGCTCTTGGAAACATAGATTTCTGTCTTATGCGGGGAGATTACAACTCTTGAGTTTTGGGATCTCCATTATAACTAACTTCTGGCTTTTAGCCTTTATACTTCCAAGCGCTTGTGTGAGAGTAATAGAGAAGATATGAGCCGCTTTTCTCTTGTCAGGATGTGAGCTAAATTCTTTAAAAACAAAACTCTGTTGGAAAGAGATAGATATGTAGACCGAAAGAAGAAGGTGAAGTGAACAAAGTGTGTTGTTTAAAGCTGATTTGGAGATTAACTTCAGGAACAAAGTCTTTATGGGTTAATTGTGTGCAAAGAGAGGTGATTCAAGCAAGATCATTCCGGTCGATAAAGATGTCCACAAGTTTGGGATCTTGGATGTGGAAGAAGTTGTTGAAGTACAGAACAAAAGCAAAGGCGTTTCATAAGATGGAAATCCGGAGTGGTTTGGACATATTTTTTGGTATGATAGTTGGAGTTCTATGGGTCGTACATGTTTTGTTAGGAGATAGGGGCTTTATAGATTTGGGGATTATTGCGAGGGCGACTATCATCGACACAAGAGACATCGGATTCATGTCTTAAATGCAGTAGAGATGGAGATTGATAAAGTAAGGCCCATACTGGGAAGCTCTGAGTCAGACATTTCACTTTGGAGAGGTACGGAAGGAAAGTTCAAAGATAAATTTTCAACAAAACACACTTGGAACCAGATTAGAAGGGTGCAGCCAAGGATAGAATGGTACAAGGGAGTATGATTATCCTACTCAACTCCTAAGTACTCATTCCTAGTGTGGCTTGCAATGCATAATCGTCTTACAACGGGAGATAGAATGAGTATGTGGAATGCGAAAATAAACGTTTTGTGGTACTACGGGGGAATCATGAGACCATTTATCTTTCGAATGCTCCTACTCATCTCAGATTTGGGGAAATATTATAAGCGGTACCCTTCAAGACTAGTATACAACATCTTACAGTGATATAGTCTCTAAGCTATTGGATCCAAAATCCAATGCCATAATGAGGTTTATATTGTGGTATGATTTCCAAGTCTGTATGAACTTCATATGGTGTGAATGAAACAAACGGTGACCTGGGGAACATGGGATATCTCCTATTCTCATGACCTTTTTCATTTATCATCTTGTCCGGAATACGCTTGCAAGTTTAAAGGATACTACATCGAAGTTCGAGAATGTTCTTCGAGTCTAGATTGGAACTCAAAACTCTTTAAACCTATCTTGAAGTGTTTTCTTGAACTCTTTAGCACAAGATTACATTCATTGTACAAAGGTTTTTTTTTTTGGTTAAATAAATTATATATTCATTAAAAAAAAAAAAACATTACTAAAGCAAAACATGAATTATGAATATAAGTAAATTGGAGTAAAAATGTGTAACATGTTAGATTTTTCTATTAGGTTTTTCTCAAAGTTAAATTAAGCAAAGTGTTTCTTCCTTTTTTCTTTTACTTTTAGTAATAGTTAAGATTTTGCTTTTGGGTCTTTTACAAAAATAACTATTTTTGATAAATTACTTAAGCATATAGCCCCATAAAATTCAAAATTAAGTTAATAACACTGTAGAAGAATGAAAAGTCTATTTACTCCCTCACATTTTGTTGCGGTGAGGCGAATGAGAAGAGTGAAGACCGAAGAGGTGATGCTCTATCATTGGTGTTTATATAAGAGAAGATGTTGATGTGGCATGAGAGACAAACTGTTTTTTTAACCTATTTTCAAGTGTAATTTATATTTTTGTTTAAAATAATTAATTTAAGTTCATGATTCTTCTATAAAAACAACTATATTCATATTTTTGTTTAAAATAATTAATTTAAGAGATAATGGAACCAATTGTTGCGGTGACAAATGAGGAAGAGTGATTAGAGCTAAGAATTTATCGTGGGAGTTATAGGAAAGAGAGAGGGATCACGAGCGATAAATTTTGGTAATTTAAATATATAAACATATATTTCTAAACTCGGTGTTTAAACCTAAAAATAGAATAGAATCTATTGTGTTATATATATATACACACGTAGAATAAAATGATATCTAATATAGTTCACTGTATCTCTACATAAACCAAATTAATGAGAAATATGTAATCGTTTTACAAAATTTAAACAATGTCCTGTATCAAAAAAGTTATGTTTTTTTCTAGTATTGTAGAAAGTTTCATTCCATTTTTTGAAGAAATCTAAAGTAAGTAAATATGAAGAGGGTGAAGAATATTTAACAATAAAGAAAAAAAATAAAAAAAAAATAAGTTAAAACAAAAACATGTGTTTGCATACCATAAGGATAAAATGTATCATTTATATGGAAAATACACACTATATTATATCTATTTTTTATGGTTTAGTTTGTTAATTATAATATTTTTTTGGTTACTTTTGCAAATTTATTTTTGCTTCTCCCATTCACCAAATTTACTTTTGTCAAAAATTTTGTTTTTTTTTTGTTTTCTTGTTGTTTACCGAGTTTTAAAAACTCAATCATTAATTTTCTATTCATTATTATTGGATGTGATCATGATTGAGTTCTACAGTCTATAACTATTGGAGTCGGTCATGAATTTGTTCGAACTTAGTTGATTTATTTGGAAGACTTTATTTGTAAGTAGAAAACCTCTATGGTTCATGTTCTTAAATCCATATTTCTTACCAAAAAAAAAAGTTCTTAAATTCATACTAGATCTTTGATGATCTTATTTAGAGCTATCTATCATCCATTAAAGTTAGGGGTCCGACAAGAGAACATGCTAAAATTGAAAATATTTGTTCAACAACTTTTGTTAAAGGCCCAAAAAATTATGCTTTAAGAAGTAAAAATGCTTCGGGCCGTCCATAAACTTATTGTTAGCAATTTTGTGCTTTAAACCAGTTCATCCAATCATGTATGCATCATGGTCACAATATGGCTATTTGAAACTGCATCACTCAATTTAGTAAATGGTAGCCGAGAAGCATTACCTCTCATATGAGGCGGAGTGAGTCCATGTTCCACGTGGCGTCATGGGACCTATCGGGTTGGGTGAATGTTTATCCGAGGTAACGATTGTGGAGGTTGTCTTTATTAGCCTTGTTGAGATCATCCTTGAAATCCACTTGGTTTATCATTTGGTTTACCCCTTGTGATATCTCAAATCTACAATTAGTTAGAAACATTAAAAATAGAATCAATTATGGATTTGCCATTTTTTGGGATGGCATTTGTGGATTTTGCCCTTTTTCAAGCTACGGAAACATGCGTTTTATTCGTTATGTTTGGGTTTAGTCGGTTGTGGTTGTTCTTAGGATTTAGTATTTTATATAAACTACGTATTTTTACCAAAAAAAAAATCCGAAATACGTACATTTTTAAGTGTTAGAAAATGGCATATCCGTAAAATTTTAGTAAAAATGGCAATTTCAAAAGATTTCTATGAAAAATGGCAAAATCAATAATAATCCCATTTGGTGTCTGACTCAATAAAAATTAAACACGAGCTAGGCATCTAACTTAACAAAAATTATATGCGTGGCATCTAATTCAGTAGGGTTAACTACCCTATAGCTATCAAATTCAGCTAAAGTTTGATAGTTTCTTAGAATTTTTTTTGTTCAAACTAAAATTGGTGTATAAAAAAATACGATATAAAAATGTTATTCTAGGTGAAATAAGCATTACATATTTTGAAACTCGGTTAATCCCCTATACATATCGAGCCGTCCAGAAGTTTCACGAGGCCACAAGCGAGAAAGAAAAAAAGGACCACATAATTTTATTTGTTTAATAATTTTGTTGTTAAAAAAAATGTTTAAGCTACACCCTCAAGACTCAAACTATGGATTTTAACCATTAGATCACGAGAACATTTCCAAAAAATTGGCCGAAATTGAATGATATTATTAGGGGCCGCAAACATGTGCTTTGCTTGCTTGGCCTTATGGCCGGCTATGCATATATTAAAAAGAGTCATTGTAGTTTATGTGTCAAGCCCACAATTATTCTCATCTTTTTTTATTTTTCCATTTGCTTAATTCTACTATCTTTCTTGTCAAACACTTTTGATTCTATATACTACTTATTCTTATTAACTAAAATTATCAGAATTAAATATTTCAAAATTTTAAATTAAAAAGCTTCTATATAAAGATTTTCTTTATACTAAATGCATTATATTTTTCTGTTAGAAAATTAAACTATATAAACATATAATATATATATATATATTTCAATACCATTAAATATTTTTATATATTATAAAATTCTAAATTGAAACCGCAAAACTATAAGTCTAAACTTATGAATGACGTAAATGTAACTTTATGGAAAGACACTATCGTTGCCAAAAACTCTCCATTCTCTCTCTTCCAATGGACATTTTTTAGATCTCAGATCTGGTTTTGTATTTTCTTCTTGTTCTTCATTGGTAGTGATGGGTTTGAACAGCGAGATGGTGGAAGGCATCCCATTCTTCTCCGACAGCGATGTGGTGTGGTAGATCCGGTACTTCTCCGGCGGTCTAGAGGTGCTTCTCGGTGGATCAGGTTTGGTTGAGGACGCTGGATAGATCCTGATGGGTAGGTGACTTTGCGATTGGTGGGTTTCGTTGTGGGTCACGAGCGTTCACGGCAGATCCTTTTGGATCTAGGATGGCTGAAGTTGGGTTTGGTAGTGGAGAGATCGAATTGAGCCTTCCTCTTTCTCTGCTACCGGCTTTGGTTTCGCTCTAGTTCCGGATTGAAGATTGATGTGATTGCGCATGTGGTTTTGGCGATGGGGTTGCAGCGGTGGTGAGGTATGCTGAAGGGCTTGTGTTCCCTCTTTTGCTAGGTACGGGATCGAGGGATGAGGATTCGAGAGTTTTGAGTGGTCCTTTCTCTTCTGGAAGAGAGTCGCGGGGATCAGGTAAGCTTCCAGCGGAGGCTCCGACGGTCGGATCCGGTTGCTCCGATCAGAGGGTTCGAGGTCGGAAGCTCGCCGCAAAACGGTTCTCTTGTAACCGCCGGAGTCTGCGTGAGAAGGATCCGTGTTCTTCTTTTTTCCATCCAAGCTCCGATTAATCTCCGGCCAAAGTTTAACCGGACTTTTTTCTGCTTCTGTATTTTGTAACCCGTGGGCCCGTTAAGGCCCATCACTAAAAGCCCATTTGGATCGAATTATTAATATATATATTAAATTAAAAAATGTAACTTTATTTGTAAATATTTTAAATTTAATCTGTAAGTTTTTTTATAAACTAAAAATTGTGTTATCGTATGATATTTATATAAAATTATATTAAATTTAAAATATTTTAACGCATTTATGAAATTTTGTTTTGACATACTGAGATTTAATTAAAAAAAACGTCGATTTTTTTTCTAAATCGTTCTATCATAAAAATAAATAGCATAAGATTTATCCGTGTTATATCTAGTTATTTACAAAACACTATGTTTCTTTTAATAATTTCTCCATTAAAAATAATAAAAAGTAATAAATAATGTTTCTCTTCGATTAAGACAAAATTCCAAAATGGCTTTATATATAGTTTGGAAGAGACGGGTAACACAATTAGAGTTGGAAGTGGATTTAGAGATGGTGGTTAGTTTTTTCTCTACAAGGATTAGCTATGTTCATCTTCTGTCATTTCTGGTACGGTTATGCAATGATTGTATATAAAGAAGCTAATCATCTTGCAGATGAATTAGCTAATTATGCGTTTTCGTAATATTTAGATTTCCATTTACTAGAATCGATACTTAGTTGTGTTTCTTGGATTTGTTGGATGATGCTTGTGGAACTGCGGTTTTACGGCGAAGTTGTGTTTGATTTGTTTTGTCATTAATAATAAAAGCATTCTCAAATCTCAAAAAAAAAAAAAAAAGACAAAACCCCAAAAATAAAATTAAAAAAAAAAAAAGAAAACAAAAAGCAAAGGATAACACAAAACCCTTTTCGTCTTCCCAATTCCACCACACAGACACAAAGCACCGAAAATGGCGGTTTCTTCTGGAACATTCTCCACCTTCCTCTGCGTCAAAACGACATCTTTCCACAACCAATCAACTCCTCCTTCGTCTCTCCGGCTAGCCTCTCACCCGGCGGCTAAACTACGCTTGGTCCGAGCTGTGACATCTGCGACGGCCTCTTCCGAGCCAACCGCAACCAATAAAAGAGTGCCACGCGGCATCATGAAACCTCGACCAGTGTCACCGGAGATGCAAGACATCGTCGAGCTTCCTGAAATCGCTCGCACACAAGCTCTTAAGCGTATTTGGGCTTACATTAAAGAACATGACCTTCAAGTAAATCAAACTCTAATCTCTCTTAAAAACTCTGGTTTGGTTTCTCTGTGGGTTTTTTTTTTTTTTTTTGTCGATTTCTTCAATCTGGTGGTTTGTGTTTTCGAGGGTCAAATTTTAGGGTTTCTGGTAAGAAATTTGAACGGTGTAGATTCAAGAAGACAGAAATTGGATTAGTTTGTCTTCTTGTTAGTTCCACAGTTGAGTTACTTTAATGAAACTGTTCTTAGGATTTTGTGTGTTTGAGATTAGAAAGCTTTAACATTTTGTGTTAGTAGTGTTGTTTCAGTTCCAATCTTGAGCTGAATATTAACCAATGAAAGTATTCAAGAACTTGAGGTGGTTTTAATTTCTTTTAAGATATGTTTACTGCGAGTCAATATGTAATATATTGTTGATATTAGTGGTTTATTTCATTTTGGTGACTAATTGCTTCATATGATTTTGAGGGTAGATGTTTATAACATTTTGTGTAACAATTTTGATTCTTTGATTGAGTCTGGTTTTTACATTTTTGGCAATGTGTGTCCTTTGTGGTGGTAAATAACTTTTCTCTGGCCTATGTTCTTGAATCTTTTTTGCCTATGTCTGACCTGTGTGGGATCTAGTTTGACCAAAATCCTAATGTGTTCTATCATTGGGATGTAGTATACAGTCCTCTTATTCACTGAACTTAAATGTAGAAATGATTATCTCATTCTATTTGTTTGTGAGCTCGTCCATTTCAGACCCTGAGCATGTTTGGCTGCATATATCTGATGTTTTGATCTATGTTTCTTGACATTGTTGCTGTTTGGTTTAGGTTCTCAGAGTATCAAACTAGATTGACATTCTGAAGATGGAGCTTTTTCAGCTCTTGAATTTTTTTGGTTCTGTTGTATTCAAATGTGAATGCTGTTTCTGTACAAGGTCTCTAAAGTCTATATCAACCTAGTAGACAAAACTTATTGTGTTACTCTTTTAGAAAGCTCTGTATTATTTATTATTCTCCTTGGCATGTCTCGAGGTTTCAAACTTTAATGAACCAGCTTTGCAAAAATATTTGATGATGTTTCAATTGCATCAACGTTTTACTAAATGACTAATTTTTGTTATTCAGGACCCACAAAACAAGAGAGAAATACTGTGTGATGAGAAACTGAAGAAGATATTCGAAGGCAGAGATCGGGTAGGGTTCTTGGAGATTGCAAAGCTCATCGGTCCTCACTTCCTCTGATGGAATTTCCGCGAAACTTTATTTGGATGATAGTCTATGTTTTGTTGAGCTGTTAGGGCCATGAAAGGGGTTATCTTAAGTTGGGGAAGACTTAGATTAAGATTAGTAAATTAGGGTTTTTGCAAAGTAAGTACTTAAGAAGGTTTACTTGTTTTTTTTTGTTGTTGCTTCAATGGATGTTATGTTGACCTTGCTTCCTAATGTTGTTTGCGTTTTCGTTTCAATTTCAGATCTTATTTTTCTTGATTTTATCTAACAAGAAAACATCAAACATGAAGTTATACATACAACATTATTCTGAATTAAGTTTGATGTTTCAGAGGGCAGCGTAAGCATGGAGAGTAGATTGAGCTTTACGTCCAGCTTCTGTGTGGAAGAAGTGAACGAAATCGTTGTAATCAAAGGGTTTGAACATGCGTGGATGTTCTTCGTCGACAAGTTCTTCTGGTGAATCTATAATAGTTTCTAGTTTTGGGGCCGAGAACAGCGCTGTCGAATATCTTGTCTTATTTCCCATCATCATGACTCGGTGATATGATGAAGGCAATCGACCATTCAAAAGTGCCTGCAACGCATCAACAAGGATATGATTGGTTGTTCTCTAAATAAGAAGTGTGTGTGTGCGCGAAATGTTGTTATTAAAAAGGAAGTTAGGACTTATATACACATAGAGAATCTCCAACCATAACAACGAAAGAATGTTGAGATGGTTTCACTTTGATCCATTTTTCGTCTTTGGTTTTCACTTCCAAACCATCAACTTGATACTGATGAAGTATCGTGATGATGTTCTTATCGGTATGAGCACGTAAACCGACCTGTGTCTCCTCTACATCAGCATCAAGAGGTGTTGTATACTTCATCATTCGAAAAAGATAATTTGTAGATTTAAGATGTTCATCAATGTATTTCTCTATCCCAAAGCTCTCCATTATCATTCTTCTCACCATCACATCCAGTTCCAATAATTGATCCGAGAACCGGTGAATCGTCTCACTATATATTTAGGATGCAAAATATTTACGTTATTAATCAAAATGTGAAGCTTATATTTACCCAAAAAAGTGAGGAAAAAAATATTTCTTTTGTAATGTAAATATAAATAAATAAAGGCCTAAATAATTGAGTTACCTAATACTCTTGTTCCCATGATCAGGCCATAACTGTTGAGTAAAGTCGTTGACCTTCACCAAAACATTAGCATCATCGATCCCCAAACTCTGATAGAGATTATGACAAATATATCCATGGAAGGGTTTGGAAGACACGTTTCTCTGTTTGGTCTGAATCGGCAACTCGAAAAGCTCTTCCATAGCTTCAAAAACAGACGTCTTAAGCTCCACTGACACTTTGTCAAAGGAAGCTTCGAAACAACCGTAGTCCTCTAGAGCTTTACGGACATCAGCCTTCACTTCATCCCACTTTGAGCTTCCTGGTTTTAGGGTTTGGTTCGAGAAATCGATAACCGGGAGCTTTAAAGAAATTGGAGGAACAGAGTCTGAATCCATTTCTTGATTCTGAGAATTCTGAGGGTGTTTTTGCTCTATGATATTGGCTTAATTAAATACTAAATGTATTTTTGGTGGAAGAAATCTATAATTAGTGGTAGACTAGTAGTTACTAACTACTAGTTAGTATGTCTTTTATAGTTGGTAGCTGACTAGCTCTTATAATGCACTAGATTAGTAAGTTTTCTTGCAATTTTATGTTGAATTTCAGCTGAACCAACTATGAATCTTATTATATGTTTGAGTTTAATATATTTTTCAAGATTCACTTATAATAAGATTGTTCTACTATAACAATTAAAATTATATGAGTTGGTATTAGAAGATTTCAGAAATCCAAAATTCAATGGTTTATTTAGTTTCATAACATAATTATAGGGCAGTTTTCATCATAAAAAGTCACATTTTCTTGGGATTTTGGTGAATTCGCAAATGAGCAGTGTAGACCACAGGAGATCCAACTGAGCTATCCTTTGATAGCCGGGAAATAGATTTCTGATACGCCGATCATGTAAATACTCCGTTGAAAAGATTTGAGGTACGTTTGGGAGGAATATACAGTGAAATCTCTATAAATTAATACTCGATAAATTAATACTTGATAAATTAATACCTCGTTGACCCGGACTGGGATATCACCTTGGACAGCCTCGTTGCTCGAGATGGTAACAGTGAAGAGGACATTCTCCTTCGTCTTTGTTTCCAAATTACAGTCTACTATATATGGAGGGAGAGGAATGCTCGCATACATCGTAGTGCTTATTCCTCAATTCCACAGATGGTCAAATTCATTGACAAAGTCATTCGAAACAGGATTGCCTCATTCGATTCCACTTCTCGTCCACGGCTTCGACACCTTCTCCAGAAGTGGTTTACTGCAGCCCCAACGTGAGGAGAATTTTTGTCTTCTTTGTATTGGCTTAGAAATTTGTTTAGTGGTTCTCGATTATTGTTTGGCTACTTATTAAAACTATGTACATATTTGCTTGCTCAATGAATTATACATTTAAACAAAAAAAAAATTGATAATTTTTTTCCGGTTCTAAATTGATATTTTGGCCAAAATTAAATATCAGCTCTATAAATTAATAAACATAATAAATTAATAAAATTTAGTAAAATACATTAGTTTCGATATTATTAATTTATAGAAATTTAATTATACTGTCGTGGATTTCTCGCATATATATACAGTATTTGAAACGTTTTAAAAAAGAACGAGAAAATTCACTTGACTCGCTTATGCGCAAATTCACATTTATCATTGTGTAGATACTCCGTTTATCACATTTATCATTTATCATTAATCATTATCTCGTTTGTCTCACTACTGTATCACTTTGGTTATTTTTTTTGTCAAAAGATTCTAGACTATATACACAGTTACAATTTTCATCAAAAAAAGCATATACTAAGTATTCAAATACATGAAACCTTATGCACTTTGTTTCCATTGAATGAAAATTAACTTCAAAATTTCAACCATATATCTATGAATAAACACGAAACTTAACCATCTACAAATAGTACTAAATTTAACCATCTATAAATTTGGGTTTAGCCCATAGATATGTGATTAGAATTAAAATATCCAAAGATGGGCTTTAGTTTCGGCCCATTACAACCATGTCGGTCTCTTCTTCTCATCGGTAAAAAGCTCTTTCTCCTCTCGAAGAAGAAAAGCAAAAGCAACGTAGTGAACACTGACAGAACATATAGAAAGTGGCAGAAGTGCGTTAGACTTATTATACTCGAGAGAATCAAATCAACACAAGGCAAAGAAATAAACTCTCGATTTTATCAATACTTCAACAACTAACTCATAAAGAAGAAACAAAAAGGCTTTATATAAGCCATAACACCAAAACCCTAGATATATAAATTATCCAAAATATAGATGAATGGAAATTAAAAAAAAAGAAGGAAATCCTAAAATCCCTAAAACATGTCTTGTCCACCAAGTAATAACGATGCGGCTGCATCACCTTTGGCTTTGACGATCATCCAAACATGGATATTAACCAAGAATCATCAACTGCATCAAAGCAAAAAATTCGTAATAGTAATAGCCAATTCGTAGTTAAACGACACAAGAGCAAATTAGTTCAAAACACATAACCCACAATTAAAACCCTAATTGGCTATTAAAAAAACAAAACCCTAAATCGCAGCAACGACCACAAGAACATCGATTACTTATCTTTAGTAGAGACTCCATACTTCTCTTGCAACTTAGTAATCTCCTCTTCTTCCTTCTTCAAGTCAAGCTTCTTGCTCATCTTCGCGTGTTGATAATACTGCACAATAAGGTACCGATTCGCTATGTTGAAGCCGGAAAGATGGTCAACAGCTTCCTTAGCTTCGTAGATATCCTCGAATACGACGAAACCAGTGCCTTTTGTGTTCTTGTCACAACCGATTCGAATCTGGCGAATCGCCCCGTACCTTCCAAAGAGATCGTACATATCTTCGCTCGTTATGCTAAAGGGAAGGTTACGAACGTAGAGTAGGCGAGTCACCTCCGGTGGGAGCCTGGGGTTTTTTCTGTCTTTTGCCGTGCGAGGAGGCATTGTCGTAGCTTCTCTTCTTCTTCTTCTTCTCTTCTTCCTTTAGCCGGAGAAAAAAACTTCTCTTCGAAAAGAAAAAATCTAGTGCATGTGATTTCAATAGACGTGAGTAATTTATTTATAAGGATGGAAGAATTTTGTAAAGGTTGGTAATTTTGGAAACATAGTAAATTTCACCCAAAAAAGGAAAAGGATTAAGCCGTCATTAATTTGTCATAGGCAAGGGGAATTATTGACGGTGTTGTGTAAATCATTAAACCGAATGAACCTACCGAACCGATAATTTTGTAATTGGTTTGATGGCAAATTATTGTGCTAAGCCGGCAAATTTGTAATTGATTTGAATATGAGCAAATCATTCTCTGATTTAGGGTTTAGTTTGAAGCCTTGGCTTATATGGTTTTTTTTTTTTTTTTTTTTTTTTTAATCTTTCCAATTGGGCTATATGCTAAAGGGTATAATCCATTAAACGGTTACAAAAAAAGCTAAGGCCCAAAACGGAACTGTGCCGGAACCAAAAATCTGAAACAGGACGAAGCACAGAAAAAGCAGAAACTCTGAAAAAACCTACCAATCCAACGCTAACAAGGTCGATTTCTTTGCAGCTATGGTGGTGAAAACGTTCTCATGACCAGAGTTAGCGGTTCCCATCGTGATCAGAGCCTACCACCAACCGAGCAGATCTCAACTAAGACAACCGAGCCCTCATTTCTCAACTCCAAACCTAGCAAGAAGAAATGAGGGCTCGGTTGTCTTAGTTTAGATCTGCTCGGTTGGTGGTAGGCTCGGATCGCGACAAGGAACCGCTAACTCTGGTCATGAGAACGTTTT